AAAATATGGCCAATAGAAGAAGAATTTTTTTTTTAAAGAGCCAGAGTTGGGAGCAGAACAAGCAGACTGGGATCGAACCGGTACTGCAGAGGTTACAGGCAGCTTCGCAACCCAGCGCTCAACCGCTGCACCACCAGGGAGGCCCCATATTGGCCATATTTAAGGGGAGGAAGTTATACAAAGATGTGAATATCACAAAGGGGAGGCCACTGGGTTCACTGCTACACCTTCCAAGGGCAGGAGGGCTTCATAGGCCTTCAACCCACACTTAGGAGGGCCCTAACTATTTTAAGGTTTTGCTGTTGCCATATGGAAACATTTCTGAACAAGGGACTCCTCATTTTATTTGTAGCCAGTCCTGCTCATGGGGCCCAGAGAGCTCATAAGGCTGGATAGGGCACTGCCTGCTCTGAGCAGTAATGGGGTCACCTAACGCAGAGCTGCTCTTCACTCCCTCTCCTAGAGAATTTCATGCTCTTGATGTTTAAACTCCTACCAACTTTGGCAAGAAACATGGGTGCACTCAAATTTCCTTAAGAAAATAACATTTATACCTTTTGAAGAGATTATGTGACCTAGTTTCTTGTTACTCACATTGTAGTCCTTAAAGGAACAGCAGCAGCCTTGACGGTGAACTAATTAGAAATTTAGAAATCTCAGGCACCTACCCCAATCTCAAACCCTAGATCCACTGAATCAGAATCTGCATTTTCACAACATCCCCAGGTGATTGAAAGTTGGAGGAGCACTGGCTGAACTACTCTGTCCCTAGCAGAAATGGCAAAGCATTTTCTTTGTCTTCCTCTTCTCTTCCAATGTCTCCTCTCTGTGTGTGTCTGCCCCTGAGTTGCCTATGACATTTCTTGTCAGGTGAGTTTTTATAGCCAAAATTGTGATTTCTCTCTGTTTTCACTTAGATTCTGGAAAAGAAAAGCCAATCTGAAAATTCTGATTGGCTTATCCCTGTGTCAATCTCCAGATGAATTGTTCTTGAGACAAGTAGCCAATCAGCTTGGCAAAGTAACATCACATGATATAAAACATGGCTGTTTCCTAAGTCTTAGCTGTGGCCAAGTCTGTTCTGAATATTTCATATAAATGGAATCACACAATTTATAGCCTTTCGTGACTGGCTTCTTTTATTTAGCATGATGTTTTCAAGGGTTGTCCAAGTTGTAAGCATATAAGAGTGCTCCATCTCTTTATGGCTAAATAATATTTCATTATGTGGATATACTACCCTTTGTTAATCCATTCATCAGCTGACAGATTTTTGGACTGTTTCCACTTTTTGGCTGTTATGTTTCTGTGAACATTCATGTATAAGTTTTATCTGGACATATTTTCTACTCTCTTCAAGATATGCCAAGGGGTCAAATGACTAGATAATGATAGCTACATTTCACTTTTTGAGGAACTGCTGTTTTCCAAAGTGACTGCACCATTTTGCATTCCCAACCATAATTTCTCCATATCTTTGCCAAGACTTGTCTTTCTTATAATAGTCATCTTAGTTTGTGTGAAGTGGTACATCAATGATTTGCAATGCTTTGATTACAGTAGCTTTGTACTGTTCTGAAATTTGGAAGTATGGGTTCTATAACTTTTTCTTTTACAAAATTCTTTCGGCCATTCTGTTTTCCTTGAATTTACAAATGAATTTTAAGGTCAACTTGGTGATTCCTACAAATAAGTGAACTAGAATTTTGATGGTGATTATGTTGAATTTGTAGATCAATTTGAAGATCAAGCAAGGTAAGAAGTGTCAAACTAACATTAACAGTGCAAAGTTAGTATCTTGAAGAGACAGCTGCACTCATGTGTGTGTTTGTGTGTGTGTAAGTTTATTCATATATATGTGTATATATGAGATACATATATAGCTATGTGTCTCTTAACAGTAGGGAAATGTTTTGAGAAATGTGTAATCAGGCAATTTCATTGTTGTATAATCTCAAAAAGTGTAATTACACAAACCTACATGGTAATTACACAAACCGAGGCTATGTGGCATAGCCTTCAGAGACCATCATCATGTATATGGTCCATCATTGACCAGAACATTGTTAAATCACACATGAATTAGCAATGAAATATTATCCAGTCTTAATAAAGACTGGGAAGTTTGTCATCTGCCACATGAATGAACCTGGAGGTTATTGTGCTAAGTCAAGTAAGTCAAACACAGATAGACAAATACTACATGATCTCACTATATGTGGAATCTAAACGTGTGGAATCCTTAGAAGCAGCAAGTAGAATGATGGTTACCAAAGTTTTAGATATGCAGAATGATAAATTATGGAGATCTAATGTACAGCCAAGTGAATGTAATTAACAATACTGTGATGTATACTTAAAATTTCATAACAGATTAAATATAAGTATTCTCAATAACAAAAAAAAATGATAACTGAGGTGATGGTTACTTGAATTGCAGTAAACGTTCACCATACACATACACACACACACACACAAAAAATGCATTTTTTGCTAATTTTTACTCAATAAGGATGGAGAAATAAACAAACCTGGTAATAGGGGGAAATCATAGTTAGCAGTTTAAATTTCCCATAAAGCTCCATGAGAGAGGATGCTCGGTCTAGTCTGTGCCTCTGGGGAGAATGAAATATCCTTTTTTTCCCAAAAGATTTATTTTATTTATTTATGCATACAAGAACTGGGGTGTAGGACAGAGGTGTGGGTAGTGAGCGGATTCACCAGAGACAGAGTGGGGAGCAGAACAGGGGGGATATTTACTGAAACACACTGCTAAGGGGACCGGCAGGTTGAGACAGGAGAGGTCTGCTGTGCCATGTGGGTTAGTTCCCTGGCTGGGGATATAACTCATGCTGCAGTGGCTACCAATAGTTTCATAGTGCTGAGACTTAACCCCTTGCACCACCAGGGAGGCCACCATTCTTCTGTTCTTTTTTTTTTTCAGGTGCTCAAATACATCTCAGTTTTAATTAGAGCCCCCCCCACATACACACATTTATTTGCTACTGAAAATTGAAATAGTACATAAAATTTCTATTACAATTCAAAATTTTGAAAATCAGAAAATCTGCTTAAAGCACCCTGCCCTAATTATACACTAGCCAAACCACCCAATGTCTTCTTTACATAAGATATTTTGATTCAGATTCCCATATTGGATTTCATCTTACTGACTTCAGGCTTCTAAAACACATTGGCAGTACTTGAAACCTATTAGTGTTTTTTTGAGTTCAGTCAAATCAAACTAAAGTATGTTGAATTCATTCAGGTGCATGCTACATAGATTCCTTGTAAGTTACCAGTATCAGGTTAGAAAAGAAAGACATCACAGAATGTATAGATTATCAAAATATTGGTATATAATCTCTTGTAGTATAGAGTTGCTTGCCCAAACTGCTACATAGTGATCCTAAAGTTACTATCAAGAAAAAACAGTATAAGAATAAGGCTTACAGTTAAATTCATTCCATGCATGATCATTCTCCATTTCTACAGTCTCTTCAGGAAAATATCTATTACACAGTCAATAATGACAGCTATATTGAAATCTTTTTATTCTTGTTTCAATCTAAATTTCCTTCCACTGTATTTCTTCTCAAAGCAGGAGAAATACCTGAAGCAATGGTATTTAATTTTTACTATCTTTTCCATCAATTCTTTGCTATAGTTATCAATGTCATTACTCCACAGGTCCTATGTGTGTCATTACTCCACAGAATATGTGTGCCATCACCAGTACTCTGTAAATTCTTTTTTCTCTTCTGATGTTGGGATGGGAGAGGGGTGTCAAGGTGTCTTGTAGAGGGGAAGAGTGTTTGGTACTAGAGTTGAGAGCCAAGTTACTTAGATACTTTATTGATCCTCCTTAGGTTAAGAACTGAATCTTCCTAGGAATTTTCTTCAGTGATCATCTAAGAAGACTGACTCTGGGGTCAGGGTTAGTTTAAGCTTCTTGATAAGTCCTTTGGAAGTCTAATCACAACTTAAATCTCCTATCTTGGGCTTGGGAGGAAGATGAATCTCAAGACCCTCAAAATGCTATAAAGTAGTTTGGAAAAAAGCTAGTTTTCTTCAATTTAATGTATGCATTTACAGCTCTAAGTTTCCCTCTTAGCACTGCTTCCGCAGAAGCTGATAAGGTTTAGTATGTTGTATTTTCATTTTCATTCAAGGTACTTTCTATTTTCCCTTGTGATTTATTCTTTGACTAATTTTCAGATATTTGTGAATTTTTTAAGTTTCCTTATATTGTTGATTTCTAATTTTATTTCATTGTGCTTAGAAAACATACACAGTATGATTTCAAATTATTTAAATTGATTGAGATTTATTTTGTAGTCTAACATATGGTTTGTTCTGGAGAATATTCCAATGTTCCTTGAGAAGAATGTTTATTCTAGTGTTGTTGGATGGAATGTTCTGTATGAATCTGGTAGGTCCAGTTGATTCATCGTGTTACTCAAGTGCTCTATTTCCTTGAAGATCTTCTATCTCATTATTCTATCCATTATTGAAAGTGGGCTTTTGAAGTCATCAAGTATCATTAAAATTAGCAATTTAATCATATGTCAGTGTTAATTTTTAAAAATTATTCCTTTATTGCAAGATTGTTATTTATTTTATTTATTTTGCATAGAAGAATGGGATGTAGACCAGAGGTGCAGGGGGTGGGGGTGAGAGGAATCACCAAAGACAGAGCAGGGAGCAGAACAGGTGGATCTACTGCAATACACTGTTGAGGGGATCAGCGGGCGAGACAGGAGAGGTCTGCTGTGCCATATGGGTCAGCACCTTGACTGGGGATCAAACTCTTACTGCAATGGCTGGTGATAGCTTGATAGCACTGTGTCTTTAATGCCTGTGCCACCAGGGAGGGCCCCCCAATGTTAATTTTTTAAATTCTTTTGGGAAGTTGGCAGGACCTACAATCACCACCCTCTCCCTTTCCCACACTAGAACCCCTCCTACATCAGACCTTATGCTCACACCTAGCTCAGCAGGCATGGTGGTTCTTTATTAGGCAAATAAGGTTCTTTATTAGGTTCTTTATTATTCCAGTTCTTTATTAGGCAAATAAGTGGTGTTGCTTCAGCATCTTCCCTAAGGTAGGAGACCCAAAGAGCTAATCAACGAGGGCCTACAGGACGGGCTGTTTCTACTTGAACGTCTGCAGCAACTCACAGATCCTGTCTTTGACTGTTGGATCCAATGTTGAACAGTCCCAGTCTACTAAATTCATCAATCTGTCATGGGCCTCCCAGAAAAGGGCAGAGCCAATGGCCAGCTCCACTCTCATGCGCCATTCAGCCAGCTTGGGACTGTTGAGGAAGACATTATGGTTGCTCCCTATGGGCTGTGGAAAAACAAAGAGGGAGTGATTAGCCTGGAACCAGCCTCAGCTGGGTCTCTTCCTAAAGCTTCAAGGGCTCTTTCCATCTGCTTTCACAAAGAGTTATTTTGCTGACCCCCAAGACCTGGACATGAGATCAAGGGAATATAATAGATATGGGGTGGGGATGGAAGATCCAGAAGTACCCAGGACTCTTCATCACTAGTGTTGCTCAGTGCTCCCAAATACCTCTCTGAGATGACCCCTGGCCCAGATGGTTTCCACTATTCCAACCCGAAACCTCCCATGGGTCCTGCTTTCTTTTAGGGTAACCCCTATCCTCAAATGAGAGTTGTGTTTACACACACACACACACACACACACACACACACACACACATTAAACCTCCCTCTGTTTTCAGATACAGGGCTGAAAGGGGATACCCAGCATGCCACCTAAGAAACAGCAACAAGGATGTTCAAGAGGTCCAAAAGGGGGTGGGGTGGGTGAAATGTAAGGGGTGAGGGAAGGAAAACATGAAACATAGGGTGCTGAAAAACCAGAACAGCTTTTTCTGGTGCTGGTCTACACTGCATACTGACCAGGGACAAAAGTGGACAGTTTGCATATTGGCCAGAAATTATGCTGGCCTCTTAGACACTGGCCAGAGTCTAAACTGGCTATTCTGCACACAAGCTGGATCGGAACTGACCATCCGCCCCCTGCATGTGGAAGTCACATAATTGCCCCACACCCAAATATGCTCAAAAGCACGTGGATGCCCCTCAGACCCAGAGCCTGGGGACCTGCACTGCAGTTATCCATCTAGGACTCTTGAGAGAGGAATTTGAGCAGGAAGGACACTTGGGAAGCATCTGGACATTTCCTGAAGAGTCCAATGGGAGGTGGAGGCATCAGGATCCTGGCTAACAGACCAAGAAATGCTAGATTCTTCTCCCTCTCTCAGGCTTTCCCTCAGTGCCTCTGCATATGGAGGAATCTTAGTAAAGGGTGAACAATCACCATTTCCCCCTGTTCAAAATCATCTGTGATTCCTGTCACTCCCAGATCAAGTCCAAGCACCCAGACATGGCTCCCACACCTCCTCATTCGTCAGCCTATCTTTAAGCTATGTCCCATCACAGAGGAGTCCCACCTCTGCCCAGACTCTGTCCCCCACCTCACCCCACCCCACCCACTCCGCACCTGCATCATCTCCACAAGGGCCACCAGGTCAGCCAGTGAGATGTGGTCCCCAGTAATGAACAGCCTGTCCTGCAGAAATTTCTCCTCAAATTGCTGCAGGCTATTGTTTGCCTCTGCTAGCGTCTGCTCTACCTTCTCAGCTGGAACCTCTTCACCTGTGATCATTGGGATCAAAAGCTGACAAGGATAGAGAAGAAGGAAGAAAGTCATACCCCAGTCCCATCTGACCCTCCAGCCTCAGTACCCTTGTCTGCTAAGGAGGTGTAAGACACTACCAAGGATGTTCTGGTTGTAGAATTTGCCTCGGACAAATTGTTCAGACGGATTTTGAGATTTCAGCAGAAAAGAATTCTATTAATCATTAGTGATGTCTGTCACAGACATTGGATAAGGAGTAAAAGCTGTATGAGTTGATTATTTGTCAATTTCAAATTTGGTGGTATCTCAAGGCCCTTCAATTATTTTCTAGTTCAGAAAAAATTTACTGACTCTTATCCTGACTTGATAAATATCAGGCCCTCCTGGAGGCCCTTCCTTTTTGCCATTATGAGGTTCATCCATACCCAATGGTTCATTCCATACTTCCAACAGTTCTGTAAGGCAGGCAGAAAGAGGAGCCAAGAAAATGAGGTGCAGGAAAAAAGGGACACTTACTTGAGCTAACCAGTGGACAGCTGCAATTATAGCCCCCACTCACCTTAATCCAGAGTAACTTGCTCATGGGCAGCTGAATGGCTGTGTGCTGCCAGGCCATGAACTCATCTACACGGGCACGCATATGCAGGTCTGGTGGGTACCAGTGCGAGGGTGCACTATACTTGCGGCACAGGTAACAGAGGATGGCCACACTGCAGAAAGGCAGATGAGGAGCTGTGTTCTTGCAATCCCCAATGCTGCTACCCAGACCATCCCCGTGTGGCCTGGACTCAGAATGTGGCTTCCAGACACAGGCAGTCTCTGGACACTGACATTCTCTTGGGGGAAGTATGAATCCAAAGGGCCCTGGGAAAGGCAATCAGTTTGTCAGCCAATGAGAGTTGGGAGCAGGACCTATAGGATGGTGGAAGTTGGCAATCCCATTAGGAAAGGCAGTCCAGATGTGGGAACAACATGAATAGACATATGAGTGTTAAAGAATGTGCAGTAAATTTGGAGAAAGGAAAGTAAGTGCGTTTGTTGGAAGAAGGGCTGGGGTCAGCCAGGGAGTGGTGAGAGGCAGTCAGAAACATTACAGAGATCGCAGATCAGGTGGGGAGTCTCTCAGAGATGCAGGGAGAATACAGACTTAATCCTCATGGTAATGGGTTAAGTAAGCAGGGGGATGAGAAGATCCACCTTGAATTTTAGAAAGATCCCTCTTATGGTGGATGGAAGATGAACCAGGGGGGCAGAAGCAACAATAAATAGGGAGATAAGGGCAGCAGCTGCTGTGATGCCCAAACATAGGGTGTTAGGGTTTGGGAAGGTCAATGTGAAGAGGGAGAAGACCATTCAAGGAACACTTTAGTGTCTCACAATCTAGCAGAGAGGCCTATAACAGATCCTTTCCAACTCCTTCAAAGGGAGCATTGCGCGACTGACCCCTCGATTTTGACTTAAGCTCCCAGAACTGGGTGACAATATGTATTTTCCAACAGTGAGCGGTTCTATGTTACATCAGCTCTAAGAAAGTAATTCAGGCCTTCAGAAAATATATTCTCAAGTTAATTAGAGCTCCTTTGAGGCAATCTGAGAAACAACCCTGGATCTGATCAACCTCTAGATACAATTTCAAATTTATAGGAAATGAAGAGACAGAAAATCAAGTTACACAAGACCAGAGAATGCAATCAAAGAAATGCAAACTGTGGGAAATTCCTTAAGACAAAGGATCCAGTTTCTTGGACCATGACAAAGGTAAAGGTGTAGGGAGTGGGTTCTAGATTAAGAGACTTAAGAAACAGATCAATCAACCATAATACTATAAGCTTGTTTGAAATTTGATTCAAATGCACACATTGCAAAGAAAGCATTTATGAGCTCCTCAATTCATAAATATGAATATGAACGCATTTTGAATATGAATTAGACAGTTGATGAACTCTAGAAATAATTTTATTAGGTGTTCTTGTGATATTGTGATGATGCCTTTCTTGTTTGTTTTTAAAAGGGCTCTTATCACTTAGAAACACATTCTAAACATTTATGGATGAAATGGAGTGTCTGGGAAACAAGAGTGGGGTATAGCTGTTATATAGCAGGTCCCTCCCAAGTGGACAGCTATTGGAGCCAGGTGATATGTGTGTGTGGGTTCTTTATACTCCTCATTAGTTAGTGTTCATTCTACTTTTGTGTGTGTGTGTGATATTATGATTTACAAGAAATATATAATTTGGTTATTTGGGTGATCAAAATATATCTCTCATAGGGATTTGATCTTCATCCACAGGTTTTGACTCACAACTCCCAAGAGCCTTGGAATTTCCTAAGTGTTGAGAGTTTTAAAGGCATGTTATGGCAATGAAGGTAATTTTTTTGGAAAACACCTGAGGATGGTGGGGAGAGGAGCTAGAGATTGAACACAATTGCCAATGGCCAATGATCTCATCAGCCATGCCTATGTAACAAACCTCCCTAAAAGCCCAAGAGAGAGGGGTTTGGAGAGCTTCTGGGTTGGTGAATAGGTGAGTGTGGCATGCTAGGAGAAAGCATGAAGCTCTGCACCTTTTCCTCATACTTTAACCCTACACATCTCCTGAATTACTTCATTTGTAAGAAATCAGTGGTCTAGTGAGGAATGGGTGTCCTGAGTTCTATGAGCTATTTTAGCAAAGTAAATTGAACCTGAAGAGGGAGTACTGAGAATCTCTTCAGTTGGTCAGAATCACAGGTAACAGCCTGGACTTTGGCTGGTGTCTAAAATAGGGGGAGGTCTTGTTCTGTGGGTAGTGTCAGAACTTAACTGAATTCTTGGGCATGTAGCTGGCATCTGAGAATTGCTTATTGGTGTGGGAAGCCCACAAATATACTAAACGATGTGAAATTCTCCATAGTTAAAAAAATAAATGCTGGCATATCAACTCCAAGAATCTGGAGGTCCTTAATCTCCCAGGAGGAGCAGAGGCAGATGTCAGGAGGGCCCTGAGGAGGATAACTTACCTTTCAGATAAGATAAATTTTCCATCTTTCATGCTGGGCACCTTTCTCAAGGGATTGATCTCAATGTATTCCTTGCTGTGGTGGTGACCTGAGTGGGGCAGGGAAAGTTTGACATTGATGGGACCCCAGAAAAGAGAGAAGCAGGTTTCCCAAAGACAGAAATGTCTTCTTCTCCATTTTCTCATGAAGGGGAAACTGAGGCCCAGAGGAACACCATGGCTCACCCCAGTCAGAGTACAAGTCAGTGGCAGAAGAGGGACCCAGATTAGGACTCCTGCTCCCACCCCAGGTTCAGTAACCAGAACAATCCTTTGGTTCACAGAAGATGGACTGGTCTAGCCTCCACCCTTCAATTCAACTGGTGAATTCACAAGTCACAAGCTGTGAATCAACAGAAATCCTGGGGACCTGCCTCCCACTGCCTCACTAGGTCTCCCCCTCTAAGGCGAGCAGGGTAGCCGGCAGCCCCAGGATCAGCACACAGTTGAAATCCAAAAAGGTCCAATCATTTGGTATGATCTGAAAAGGAAACTCAGTGTGGGGGGCAGGAATTTTAACTTTTCCTTGACCAGCAGTCTCTAGCTGGAAACATTTCCAGGAGCTCTACTCATACCCCACTGATTTCCACATCTCCTGCATCTCCTACTCTATGTTCTAGAGGCTTCTGCCTCTGTGAGAGCTTTTAGAGTCTCCTTCATGCTTGGGGCAGTGGAGATGGGTGCCCCGAACCTTACCCTGGGTCGGTCAGTCAGAGGAAGTATGAGCGTGGGGGAGAATGGGTGTGGACCAAAGCAGCATCTCCGCTCTCTGATGTGAAATGGCCTATTTTTTCTGTGATCTTTGCCAACCTAATCAGTAGGTGTTGCAGTTAACAAGATGCTAGGCACCTGCAAGAAGGCAAGGTGCTGAGTAGGTGCCTGGGGACGCCCTCCACAGTTCTTCCTTCCTCTTTACCCTCTAGAGCTCTTCCTCAAAGGAGGGCAGAATTAGTGGGGACTGGGGCAGGATTCACTTGGAAACTTTTTCTTCCCCTGTGAACCTTGGAAGCAGGGTCTCCTCAGTCTTTGTCCACTTCTCAAGAATGCCCTGCCTCCCCCCAGGGCCTGGACAGCCTAGGCAGCAGTGGGTGTCAACCTTTCAGCAGATCCACAAATTGGAAATCAAAGGGGATGCTGTTCTTCCTGGCAAAGATGTAAACGGCACGACAGGACGCGGATAGCAGGTCCATGTAGAGTTCCAGAACCATGCTGACGCATGTCAGGCCTCCTAGCCTCAGCCAGTAGGCCACGAATCTGAGCCAATCTCCAGCCTGAGCCCTAGGCCGGGCGTCTCCAGGACTTTCCTAACCAGGCCTGGGGCCCCACATTCTGGAACTTCTTTTACTTGATGTTGTCATGAGATCAAGGAAGCATGGAATTCTCACAGCAGCAAGGATTCTGAGGAGACCCAAGAATAGACTGGGGAGAGCTCCCTGGCTGGGGTGGGATGGAGACGTGGCTGCCATCCTGCCCTGCCCTTCCCTGGAGGTTCTAGGCTGTGTCTGAGAAGTGTTTCTGCATAAGAAATCCTAGGCCTTCAAGGCAGAACAGGACCAGAGAGGCTCTGCAAGTTCAAGAATGAAGATAAAGTGATGAGAACTAATCTTGGAGTATTCCAGAAGCAGGGATGGGGAGTACCCACAGGTTGGTTTGGCCTTAATCATGGTTTAAAAAAGACTAAGCGAAAAAGAAACAGGAGACTGGGATCTATCAGAACACTGGGGACAGCACCCCAGGGAGTCCAGGGCTGGCCAGCCAGGCTATGCTATGCAAAGAAACCCAGAAAGTTCTGGCCTGAGTGGGGACTGCCAGTGGTTAGGCCATGAACCTAGAAGCCAGCACCTTGGAGAGAGGACGATAACTAGATCCCTTAGTTAGGGAAGACCCAAGTTCTCCTCACTATGATATGTGATCTTAGGAGATACCCTGTTTGTTGGGGCCTGTGCTCAGATAAGTGGGGGGGGGGACTCTCCTTACTGGGACAGAGAGAGGCTGAAGACAAGTGGAAGGTACACAGCATGTTTATTGAGAATAAAAGAACAATGGGGAGCAGACTGTACCCCTCTCAGCGGAGCCGCTCCTGCAGTCGCTTCACCAGCTGCTGGACCACTTGGGGATCCCGTGGGGCATCTTGGGGGTCACGAAGCTGTAGCACACGCTTGTGGGCCTCCTGGACAAGCTCAGGGCCCAGGGCAGCCTCCACACGGGCCCGCCACGCTGCCAGCCGGGGCCAGTCTCGGAAGAGGTCGCAGCCAACTGCAGTGGGCTGGGAAGACCGGCAGCTGGGATGGGACTAGACCTGGGGCCCAGAGCACCCCCCAACCCCCCAGAAGGTGAGCAGGCAGGAGAACCTCACCTGCATCAGATCCACAAGCGTGATCAGATCTGCCAGGGAGATTTGCTCCGTTGCCAGGAAGGGCTTGGCCATCAGGACCACTCTATCCAGGTGCTGCAGTGAGGGTGTCAGCTTCCCCATCAGCCGCTCCAGCTTCGCAGCATCCACAGGCTGCCCAGAGAAGTAGGGCAAGAGACACTGGGGCAGAGGGAGAGGGGGCAGCTTATCCTAGGTTCCTTTAAGCACTCATCCTACTCCTTCCCTGAACTCATCCTCTAGTGATTCCGCCCGGGGGCTATGTGTAAGGAAGGATTCAGACTTTCAGGCTCAAGGGAAAGAGTGTTATGATGGGTTATTGATGTCTTTTCCGGGGTAGTGGAGGGGAGTCTGTATACAGGTTAACATGTGGTCCTTTCTGCTCTGAGGGTCTTGGTTCCTGCCCAAGCCTGCATCATCCATCCAGGGAGATTCACCTTGCATAAGAAGACATTGGCGGCAGGCTGTTGGATCGCCGTGTGCTGCCACGCCAGGTATTCATCAACGCGGGCGCAGGCCTGAGGCTCAGTTGGGTACCAGTGTGCTGCCGTCTGAAACTTGCGACTCAAGTATAGAAGGATGGCCACACTGTAGGCAGGAGGGGGTCAGAGGTCTCTTCCTACCCATCCAGGCTGGGCAGCTTCATCTCTCAACCATCTCACATGATGATCTGACTGGCTTTCTCTGCAACGCCACCTGTACAGGAGGGCCTCCCCAGTCCTGCCTCTACCTGCAAGCAGAATCCTTTCCCCACTAAACCGCTCCATTCCTACATTTCTAAACTCTGCTCCTCCCAGGCCCACTTCCCAGCGACTACCCCAGCCTGCCCTTCTCCTCCAGACCCAGTTCTCTGGCATCTGGGTCCCTATTCACCATGAGGGAGGCAAAATTGCCAGGGACACCCTGCCCAAGGGATCTTCACGCTCTCTTCTTGGACCATTCATCCCTAGTGATGGGGTCTGAGCTGGGACTCGGAGGAGAATCTCCATTTCTTGATCTCCTTGGGCTTCTGGCTCTTGCTGCCTATTTTTCATCCCTCAGGCAGCCACTGGGAGGTGGTCATAGTATCGCTCCCACTTTACGGAAAAGAAACCTGGGGTTCCAAGTTCTGTGATCGGCCCAGGGTCACAGAGTGAGGAATTCAGACTCCAGCGTGATGGGACTGCTCCACTTCTGTGACTCTGAGAGGACGAGTTCAGAACATCTAGGGAAGGGACTCACCTCAAGCCTGAATCATGCAGGCCTGGCTCAGTGCCCTTGCCCCTGCCCACACTGGCATTCCCAACTTTATCTCCTTGAAAGGAGGAAGAGGTCAGGCAGTTTGGAAAGATCTCCAAGCATGGGTTGTTATTCCTCTGCCTACTTCCTCCAGCATCCCTGCTTCACCCCAACCCACCCTACCCCAGCAAATTCTTGCATCCTGGCTGGGAGCCAGACTCTGAGCCTGCTGGGTCCATTACCTCTCAGCCAGCAGGAAGTCCCCATCCCTGAGGGCAGGCACCTTCCCCAGGGGGTTCACCTTCAGGAACTCAGGCTTCAGGTGCTCTCCTGGGAAGCAGAGAAAGGAGGCTCAGCACATGGTCTGGCCTCTGGGCACCCTCCCATGAGACCTGGCATACCCAGCGTCAGCACCACAGGTCGCAGCTCAAAGGGGATGCCATTCTTCCTGGCAAAAATGTAGACGGCACGGCAGGGGGGTGAGTACAGGTCCAAAAACAGCTCTACTGCCATCACTGTGCCCACCCACGCATCTACCTTCACCTGCCTCCACTCTACTCAGGCCTGCCTGACTGGTTGCTCAGCCCCTCAGAAACCACCTGAGCTCTGTGTCCCTCCCTGAAGCCTACTTCCCTCGTTGACTGGTGAGGCACCTTGCCAAGCCACCACCCCTCCTGGCCTCTGTGTAGGGGAACGGGGGTGCAGGAGGGGGCTGTGCCCCTCCTGGGGTTGGTCACTGGTTTTTCAAAAACAGTGTGTAGCACTGACCCTTCTTCAGAGTGTTGCAAGCCAGTGGCCACGCCCACCTCCTGCTCTTTCCTTTGACCCGGCCATTCCCTGCCCCCATCTCTGCTTCCTGGAAGCCACTCTGCCTTTCGCAATCTTTCAAGTAGGCGTAACAGGCAGGCTGGATGGCCAGCTGGCAGCACACACTTCTAGATTTTCTGTGTTTTCCCTCCCACTGCGTCTGCACCCCCCTCCCCCCAACACACACTATAACTATAAGCAATGGCTCCATTTTCTTGGTGGGTGTCTTGGCCAAATGAAAGACTCTGCCTAGATAAAGTGTACAAAAGACAAATATTTATTTCCTGTGACAAGAAAAGGAGTCCTGAAACTAATGTTTCTAAAGAAACTGTCTGCTGGGGGCCACAGTGAGGCGAAGTGATACAGTATTATTTAGTGTGTGTTGGATTCAGAGAAGTCTTTTTTTCCCATGCTGGAGTCTCCTGGTCCTTATCTTTAGCCCAGGGTCTGTGGGAAATGAGGAAGTTTGTCTCGTCCATGATTGCTATCCCATATAGGTTTTCTTTATGGTTAAGAAGTTTGAGTACAAGGTGACAATGCCTGGTGGCCGGCACCAAGAAAGAGAATTCCTTTACCATGTGCTCACATCACCAGTTCCAGCCCAGACCTCTCCTCTTTCCAGCCCCAGGACAGAAACTATCCTGATGTCTTAAAAGCACATGGCACAGCAGACCTCTCCTGACTCTCCCACTGCTCCCCTCAGGAGAATATTCAGTCAGTCTCCTCTCACTTCCCACACCTCGGGCCTATACGCCATTTCTTATATGCATAAATAGATCAATCTTTTTTTTTTTTTAAAAAAAAAAAGCACCTCTCTCTACTGCCCTTCTCCATGCCCCCACCTCAGGGGCAGCACTCTCCCCACTGGGACTCAGCTCAGCCCCCTGGGAGTCTCTCCTCCTCTTCACCATCATCCCTCCATTACCAAGTGCTCTTGCTCCCCCTCCTGAACTTCTTTTCCACCCACCAAATTTCTTATCCAGCCAACCTCACCAGCTTCCAGACCCACTCCCCTGCCTTTCCTCTGGCCCTCTGTCCTGGTGCACGCAGAGCCAGAGGGGATTTCTAAAGTCCAAGTCTCATGCCATGCTCCCTGTGCAATGCCATCCCTTACTGGAGTGCCTCCATCCCTGCCAGGTTGCACTCCCTGCCCCTGTCCATTGGCTTCTTGCTATGTGGGCTTCCCTCTTGACCTGCCCTGTAGTTGTCTTTTCCATTCAGATGCAGGTCTTGGGATGCCAAGGACTGGGTTGTGGGCAAGTCTGTGGACCTGGAGGATAGGACCAATGGGTGGTCCACGACCCAAGCCTGGCATCCACACTGACCGCTACTGGTTGGGTCAGTTGTGGAGTGGGAAGCAAGTTAGATCAGTCCTGGCCCTCCTGGGCACTCAGCAAAGCCTCCCAGAAGCCATTCTCTGGTCTCAGCTTCTGGACTCATGCAAGGGGACTAAAATGCCTCTCCCACTCTTTACATGGCAACTAAAATCTGCTAGTAGATGGAACTTCAGGTGTCATACTCCCTCATGAACACATGTACATACTTGGAGGCCATGCAGCTTGGTCAGGCCTGACCCACCATTGATTCAGAGACAGCCCATATCTGGGCTGGCTAGTAAAGTACCTGCACCCTTGGCCATTCTGATTGGATCAGACTGGACCTTGGAATGGTGGCAGACATTCCTAGGAAGGAGGGGCTGGGGAAGAGGCACAAGGTTGGCCCTTGGCAAGGCCACCAGCCTTTTCAATGTGAGACCCTGGGAACCACCAGTTTGCAGAGAAAATACAGCTAGCTCAGATTCTTCTCCAGTGGAGAGAAAGGGCCAGGACCAGACAGCCCCCAAGAATCAGGCTATCCAAAGCTATCCATCCTGGATTTCAGGCTGACAGGGAGTAGAGCCAGACAGATCCAGTGGGACCAGCTGCCACACAACAGGGCTGTAGATGGGAAATTGGACCCAGACCTCCCATGCCCAGAGCCCTCAGAGAGCCCTTGGCTCACTGCCCTAGGCCCACATTCCCACCAGTATAAGAAGGCCCCTTCTAGGTTTACTGCCTTGGAGCCTTACACCTGGGGGCACAGCCCTACAATGAAGGTTAGGATGCTAGAGTCAAAGGATAGAAGGATGGGGAGTAACAGGAAAGAAGAAGGGGAAACACAAGGAGGAGGGCAGTGAGACACTTGCTCATTCATTCATTCAACTGAGTGAGTCAACTCAGAGACTATAATGAAGAGGGTCAGACAAAGACAGATGACCAGAGAGGACTCTTCACTGTTTCCCAGTTCTCCAAGCAGGATCTATGTTGTTACACTGGCAGGGGGACCAGGAGGGTATTCTTTTCTCTTTTTTTTTTTCCCTTGTTGTTAATCATTCCCATTTATTTATTTTTTTATAAATATTTTATTTTATATAATTCTTAGAACATTTTTCATCTTTGCACAATGTATGCATTTTCATTTTGGTTATATTCCCCATACAATTGCACACATCCCCTTATTCTGACCCTAGTCCTCAGGAGGGTATTCTTGACCCCCTGCCTCAGGAACCACTCGCCCATACCAGGCCAGCAACCATGGATGTCCCTCCCAAAACATTTTCAGGCTGCAGGGCCACAGATGGGCCAATGATTCAGGAACACCAGCAGATGAAGAAGGGACAGTCACATCACTGACCCAGCACATGAAACCCTGGGCAGGGCAGCAGCCATAGGAACCAAGGAGGGATCCTACTTCCCCTTCCAGGGACAGTCAAGAGGCAGAGGTTGTCCCAATCTGCCAAAGAGAGGTAGCACCCCTACTGCCCCCAGGCAGGGTCAGTGAAGAGGGGCTACCCAATTGTTCCAGGTCTATACCGGCAACAGCACCACCTCCTTCAACACAAGGTCAACTTGTCAGCTGGAGAGGAAAACCCTGTCCTTCAGGAACTTGTCTGTTCATGTTCCCTGCCTGTCCTTGGGCACCTATATGTGGATGAGTAGGACTAACACCTGCTGGGTGGGCAAGGGTGGACTCAGTTTTCGGCCCCCCATCCCAGCATCTTAACCCTGCCCACACCCCATTACATCTTCTCCAACATCACCCTTCCTGCGTCCACACAGCACACTCGAAGTGCCCTAGACTTGGTCATGTTCCAGCTCAGACACTCATTCGCCTGTTGGTGGAATGATACTAGTAGACCACTGTCTGGTATTTGTGGCTTAGGGTGGGCAGGGCAGAGGCAGTGACCTGGCGGACACTGGCAGCCAGCCATCCCATTTCTCTCAGAAGTCTGCAGAAGAGGTCTCTGACACGGGACAGACTACACCTCATCCTCTCCGCCACCCAGCAACCTATCACCACTCAACATTCCAGTGGTCAGGCCATGTCCCTCCTCCCGGCCACAGACCTGGGCAGCTCTCCATTGCCTTGATCTAATGTTCACTCCTTTGCGCAGCCCATTCTTATCTTGCTGTGACTGCTTTCCCAGGTTACCTATGACTTAGCCTCCCAGCATCCCCTCTGCCATGGCTGGCTGTGGGGGATTCCCAAACACATGCATTTTCACACTTCCAGCATTAGCTCATGGTAACGTCCAAGGTTTCTTTCTGCACCTCCCCTGGCTACGTGACATAGGGATCCAATGCCCCCCTCTTTTTGTGATGCAGAGCATGGCTAGTCAGCTGTGGTCACCCTCTAGGACTCGCCTGGCACCTCCACTGCACTCAGAGTGACCATTGAGCTTTATTGTTTACTTCTTTAACTTTATTGGAATGTCTGTTAAAAGCAAAACCATCAAATTGCGAAAAACAAAAACAGCTGGTATGGATCAAGAAAGCACAGGCTGTGCCTGCCCATCCCTAGGGGAGAGGCCCAGGAAAGCAAGCACAGATGAAAAACTTCTGAAGGGGAAGTTGCTGAAACAGAACCTACGAGAAACAACACCCATGGGGACCCTCAGTGAAGGACAACTGCAGCCAGTGGCTGGGAGTGTTCCAAGTTGGGAATGGCAGAGGGGGCCGGCTCCAGGAGAGGACTCTGAGCATAACACTGAGGACCTCATTTATTCATTGGTGGTGACATCTACTGCTAAGTCCCAGAACTGTGGCATGTGAGCTACATGGCTGCCCGTGGTGGAGCCCTGGGACAGATGGTGGCCCCACATCCTGTAAGAGAAAGAAATCACTCAATTGCAGATAGAAATGTTGGTAAGTGGAATTGTGAGATACTGGAAAGCTGATGTACTTTGACCTGTACTGTTTCTGTTGCTTACATGCAATTTTATTTTTTTTTTATTCAGACACACAGTTGGTAGTAAGGCGCTCTTGAGTATAAACAGGGTATAGTCTTGGCAGTGACTGAAGGATGGTGCGTGTTTTCTCCAGAGACTGACTAGCCAAGTAATAAAAAGGTCTGTACTCCGGAGGAAAACAGAACTGGAGGGCGCCTTTGGAGGACAAGATTCAAGGACTTTCTGTAAGACAAAGAGTGAGCAAGGAGAGAGGAAGGAGTCCCGGTCTCCGGCCCCTCAGGGCAGAGATGGGGGTTAAAACAGAGTGGGTGCAAAAGAGTTGAAGTTTCAAGACTTTAGCCTGGCACAGACCCCTAGTGCTCAGACCTCAGGGAAGCCAGAGGCAACCAGGTGAACTCGGGGGCTGCTGTAAATACAGGGACTGCAAATAGGACTGCAAAAAGATGCTTGTCTATCCATATCCCAAGACTGAAGAACATCCCCCTGCCCCCTTACCCCTGCCAGATTCATATGTTGAAGCCGTGACCCCTAGCACTTCAGAAAGTGACAGCTTTGGGGGATTAAGGAGATGAGTAAATTAAAATGAGATCCTGGCGGGAAGGGGGTGGGGGGCTTCCTGGTGGCAGGGGGGTTATAATCTCAGGGCTATCATGCTGTCACCAGCCACTGAGGCATGAGTTCAATTCTGGCCAGGGAGCTAACCCACATGGCACAGCAGACCTCTCCTGCCTCTCCTGCTGCTCCCCACAGCAGTGTATTTCAGTACATCTGTGCTGCAGGGGGTCTTGTTGCTCCAGCCAGATAGGATACTGACAAACAGCTAAGAGAAAGGGCCTCACACCATGGGGCTAAAGATCTGACATCCCTTTGCTTTTTGTTCTTGGTCATAGAGAGAGAAAAATTTATCAAAAAATATATTAGGCAGTAAATTATATGTATCAGCATACTGTAAGTAAATGGCACGGAAAATTGTCTGTTTAGAAATTAGTTGTTGGGCAGTTTGGCCCACTTGACAATGGGAGACGGTTTGTTGTGCATGCCTGACATGCAAACCAGCACAACAATTGTAGTGGGTCCTTCTTTTGCCTTCTTTTGAAGTTTCTTGGGAAAGTTTTTAAATGAAGCTATTTGAGTTAGGAGTTTCTAGGTAGAAAAAGTTCTGATAGCTGAGTAGCAGCCGGTCCCTGGCTGAAGGCCACGCGAATAAAAAAAAAGTCTTTTCTTGCTTAGGCTTTGGCTGCTAGGGATGTATTGGTGGCTATCTACTGTCTTAGGTTATTGTTTAGCTGAAACAATGAGTTTTAGTGAAAGGCTTAGTTTTTTATTAACCTTGAAGGTTGCCTTCTTACTGAGGCACCTAGTGGCCAAAAGCCCATGGAAAAAGAGATGCACTGATGGTTTCTGCTTTGTTTCTATGCACATGATAATGTAATCTCACTGCTTGCTAAAACTGTATAAATAAAGAACCTGCTGAGCCTCTCGGCAGAAGATACTGCAACAGGGTGGACCCCAGGAAAGGGGGAGGTTCCCTGCCCCACCCAAGGGAGGGTGGAGCTGAGTAGGAAGAGGAGAAGCTGCAGAAGAGACTGAGGAAGGAAGCAGGATGGAGCCAAAAGGAGATCTGGAGGAGGCGCATGGAGCCTAGAGACACGTAAAGAAACTGCGCTTGTCATTTGGTCGTGGACTGGGTGACACAGATGTGGGTGAGACCCGTGGGGAGGTGACAATGGCAGCTTTTATCTTGATGTTGATTTTGCTCTTTTCCTTCCGGGCTTGTCTGGTGGTTTCTGACCCTTTTCTGTGGGTCCCCACTGGAAGATGCTGTGGACTTGTGGCAGGCTTTGGGGCCTTGCTCTGGGCCGATCCCATATGGATGGACTTTTACCCACGAGGGGATGGGTAACTTTGGGTGCTTCATTTAGAAATTAAATTCTTTGCCTTACCTGTATTGTTTCCTAGTTTTATTAAAGATCCTTCCCATTAGTCTCATGTGTTTTGTGTTGATGCGGCGGATGGCTGAACCCATTTAGAACAGGCAGGTTTGCGGGGTTTTGGGCTGCCCCTCTCCCTGTCCTATAACAATACTAGCACCTCACCTAGTGTCGGTGTCTCCTCATTCTACCTCATCCCCTTCCCCTCAGTCCTTTCATTTTCTCCGACGCCGTCTCATCCTTTCAGGAACCCCTGACACGACATTTTGCCGGAGGCTGGTCCCCGGCAGATCTGCCTGTTCTGCTTCCCATTCTGTCTCTGGGTGAATCCTCTCACTCCCTGCACGTGTAGACTACACCCCTGTTCTTGTATGCATAAATAAATAAAATAAATATTTTTTAATAAATAAATAAAATGAGGTCCTAGGGTAGGCCCTAATCCAATTTGATTGGGGTCCCTGTAAAAGGAAATTCAGACACAGAGAGACAGCATAAAGGAGCGTCCACATGGAGGCACAGGAAGGCGACCATCTGCAAGCTAAGAAGAGAGGACTCAAGAGAAAAAACCACCTCTTCTGACACTTTGATCTTGGACTTCCAGACTGCAGAACAGTGAGAAATACATGTCTGTTGTTTATGGCACCTGATCTGTGGTATTTTTTATGGCCGCCTTAGCATACCAACATAAGCACCAAAGGACAGCCTCCACAGATAGCAATGTGGCAATATCTGTCCCCAAATGGACTGGAATGGCCTTACCCAGCAATGCCATTTGTTGGAGTTTTCCAGGGCACCACACAGCAGAACAAGTAGCAGTAATAGTCACAGATGCAGGAACCAGGCGGCCACAATGTGATCTATATATGCAGTGGCAGCTGCGTACTCTGGTAAAGGACGGGCATGATTGCCACGCTTGGCTCTCCAGATGACTCGCGCTCATACACGCAGTGCACTCAGAGCAGGACCTGGCATGTCAGAAATGTGCTATACTACTTTGACCAGTTCTTCAAAACACATGTTGTCTAGATAAATGACCACGTGCAGAGTACTTCCAAAACATAAGGCGTCCCCACCCGACCATCTCAGCATCTTGATGGGTCATGATTTCACTGATATTTTGTAGTTTAAAAACAGTAGCAAATCTTTCAAAAGGCATGGGATTTCACAAGATAATGGGAGGGATGCTCCTGAGGGACTGGGCAGGTCAAGTCACTGCTAGGCTAGAACCTGCCAGGAGAGGAGCTTTTGAGACGAGTGATTGCTCATACCCAGGATTGCCAGAATCGTGGGGGCCAGGAGCATGAAAAGTCCAGGGTGGAGGCTGGGGAGCAGAAAGAGTGACTTTCAACCAAAGCCAAGTCTCTGTCTTTCAGGACAGGCTCCTCTTCAATTTGTCATTTGAGCGAAATTCTCGTTCAGATTATGCCCTGGGGCAAGGGTTTAGAACATAGGTGGCCATGTGGGATCAGGATCAGGAAGTCACCACCCCTCCATGTCTGCCCAAGCAGATCTGTCAGCTGCCAAAATCGTACCTGGCAAGGCTCGAGACCTGTCTGTTATGGACTGGTTGTGGGCCCCACCCTCCCTCTCCAAATTCGTATGTTGAGATCCTAATCCCCAAGTTGGTTGGTGGCTTTGGGAGATGATTTGGTCACATGGGTGGAGCCCTCATGAGTGGAATTAGTGCTCTTGTAAAAGAGACCCACAGAGCTCTATGCCCTTCTGCCATGTGAGGATACGTAGTGCTGTATCCTAACCCCTTGCATCACCAGGAAGGCCCCATTTGGGGACATTTTATAAGAAAAGAAAATAAGGCCTCCCTGGTGGCTCAAGGAGTTAAGCACTGCACTATGAAGCAATTCGCAGCCTCTGCAGCATGAGTTCCATCCCCGCTGGCCAGGGAACAACTCACATGGTGCAGCAGACCTCTCCTGATTCGCCCGCTGCTCCCCTCAGCAGTGTACTGTGGTCAATCTCCCTGTTCTGTTCCCCACTCTGTCTCTGGTGAATCCTCTCAACCCCGCATCCCTGACCTGTACCCCAGCTCTTTTGTGCATAAATAAATAAATCTTAAAAAAAAAAAGAAAGAAAGAACTGGTGCGTAGGCTATGGGGGCTGAGGGGAGGGAGAGGATTCGCCAGAGATAGAGTGGGGAGCAGAATAGGCAGATCTACTGAAATACATTGCTGAGGGGAGCAGCGGCAAGACAGGAGAGGTCTACAGCACCATGTGGGTTAGCTCTCTGGGTGGGGATTGAAGTCATGCCTCAGTGGCTGGTGATAGTTTGATAGTGCTGAGACTTTAACCCCTGCCCCACCAGGGAGACCTGGTTGCATTTCTGTGTTGATGCTCTAGTTTTATTTTTTTTCTTCTCTCTTTGTTCAACCATTTTTGTTTTTGTTTTACTTTCAGAGAGATTTCTTCATGTATTTATTTGGATAATTTCCTTGAAATTTTCATTTCTGCAGTCATATTTTTCATTTCCAGTTTTCCTCATTCTAGATACACTCTATCTAGCTTCTTGCTATAACATGGATTCAACATCTCCTCTCTTATCTCTGACAGTGGTGGGGCCCATTGGTGAAGTTTCCTTCTGTCCCCTCCATGATCTGTTTTTCTTGGCTATCCTCTCCCCAGAACAGGAGCTGCCTGTTCTGCACAGTTGCTGGTTCCTCCTTTCTCTGTCAAGTGTATAATTGTATTTTTCTACTTCTTCAGCCCTTACCTATGGTGCAGCAATAACCCTGGGATTAGAGGCTAGCCCATCAGTTTATCATGTTTGCTGAGGCCTCAGCTAGTTGTCAGCCTCCAATCCATGGCCTGGTTCCCTGATGTCTACAGTTTTACAGGCACCTGTTCAGCAGGGGCGAGGAGGCGTGTGTACTCTTAGAGACACTCAAGGTGGCAGGTTGCCCTTTTAAGCCGCATTTGGAGAGCCAGACTCCCCTTGTTCTGCCCTGGCTCTAAGCCAATGATGCCTAGGCTGGGCCCAGTCAGGGTACTCAGAGTTCTGCACTATTCCCTACATTTATATTCCAGCCAAGACAAAACTTAGTCTTTGTCCTACCTGCCCAGCCAGTTCATAGCTCTGCCGTGGTCAGTTTAAGAGGAGGTAGATAGTAGTGGTCATTGGGTAGAGGTGCTTATGGAAGCAGGGGGCAGAAATGGCCACAGGGATGCAACTGGCCACCAGTTTCCATAACAGTCTAAATTCTTAGACTATTAAGTAGGTATAAGGAACTCTAGCAGGACTGAAGATATCAGGAATTCAGAGGAATTTACTGGAGTTGCCATACACCATAGAGGGTTAGCCCTGCCTGGAAAACAGCAGACACCATAAACTGAGTGGGAGGTTGGAGGAGGTCAAAGTTTCCTGACAGTGTCAACATCACCCCAGCAATGAATCTTTGCTCAGGTAGCGGTAATTTTCCAGTAACTACAGTTGAGCTTGCTTTGCTCCCTGGACCAGTTTTTTCATTTGCCCTGAGAGATAGTGTTAGGCAGAGAGGATGACCTGAATAAACTCCACAAACTCAGGTTTTATGGACCCCACTAGCACCCTCTGAGCAGCACCCTCCTCAGAGCTGAGTCCCATTGACACCCTCATCTAGTTTTCAATAATTCTAATTTCCTCCCTGATCCATTTCAGCTCTGGGGATAGTGACTGCTTCTGTAATAATCTGAGTTCTCTCTGCTTTCAGAGCTTTTAATGCCTGGTTACCAATTCTCTGTTAAAATAACTGGTATGGGCTTCATGACACCAACAGACTCTGACTGATCAAGATGGAAGTTTGTGTGATAATCTTAACCCTCTATGTGCTCTTATTCTGAAACTATATTGGAAGACAGAAGTGGTTATTAATAGGGGTCTTTTAAGATTTCCCAGGTTTCCTTATGGTGGGAGAGCTGTGGTGACCACACCTGAGAAAAGAAATCCTGGGAGCTGCTCTCATGCCCACTTGTGACTATGCAGGTGTTTCTCTTCACCAACTTCTCTTTTTGCAAAGCAGCAGAGGCAGCCCCTCCTCCCAAGGCTGCCTGCCTGGTGACTATGCAGGCCTCTCTTTTAACAAACCTGCCACTTTCAGGAGCAACTCTTTCTTCCTGCTGTGTCTGCAAGCATCCTTTACTTCCCTTTCCCTTTTGAAATAAACCTGCCCTTTTAAATATGGTGTGAAACAATTGAACAAGCATGTAAAATAATGGTAGCTCAATAAAAAGATGTATTTTTAAAAATTTCTTATATCTAAGATCATTGCTGTTTCCCACAAAACATCATTTATATATCCTTTGTTAGTTTGCAATTATAATTAGTGTTTTACTTAATATTTTGTTGTCCTGGTAAAGATATTGTTATAGGACAGGGAGAGGGGCAGCCCAAACCCCGCAAACCTGCCTATTCTACATGGGTTCTGCCATCCGCCGCATCAACACAAAACATAGGAGACTTTAATGGGAAGGAACTTTAATAAAACTAGGAAACAATACAGGTAAGGCAAAGAGTCTAGTTTCTAAATGAAGCATCCAGAGTTACCCGTCCCCTCGTGGGTAAAAGTCCATCCAAATGGGACTGGCCCAGAACAAGGCCCCAAAGCCTGCCACAAGTCTAAAGCATCTTCCAGTGGGGACCCACAGAAAAGGGTCACAAACAACTGGACAAGCCCGGAAGGAAAAGAGCAAAATCAACATCAAGATAAAAGCTGCCATTGTCACCTCCCCACGGGTCTCACCCACATCTGTGTCACCTAGTCCACGACCAAAAGACAAGCGCAGTTTCTTCACGTGTCTCTAGGCTCCATGCGCCTCCTCCAGGTCTCCTGGCTCCATCCTGCTTCCTTCCTCAGTCTCTTCTGCAGCTTCTCCTCTTCCTGCTCAGCTCCACCCTCCCTTGGGTGGGGCAGGGAACCTCCCCCTTTCCTGGGGACCACCCTGTTGCAATATTATATTGACTTGTTATGTGTGAGATTACTTTGGTTCCCTGTGATGAGGATAACTGAGACATACTTTAGTTCCATGTACACATACAATATAGCAATATCATATAACCAACGCTTCTTGGTTCCCTATGCAAAGTGTTCAGAGTCTTCACTCTTTTTTTTTAAGCAAGTGTACATTTCTAAAATCAGGTTGCAGTTATTTTTAGTACAATAAGTCCCTGATCACATCTTCCAAGGGTAAGTTTTATTTATTTCATTTTATTTCATACTGTTTATTATAGTAAAAGCTCTCATGTACAACATTTGCATTTTTGTCCGTATCTTATTTTCCATTTGGTTTTGGAACATTTTAAATTATTTACAAAGTAAGTTGTAATTTTTATGATTGTTCATAATTTTTTTCCTGACCCTTGGAACATGTTTTAAGAGACTAAAATATGAAATCATGGCAGACTGAAAGTCCTATTCTTTGCTAAGATTAAAATTAACTCAAGAATTTCCAGGATTCCTCTATTATCCACAGTGAGAGTATGAATGATCTCTTCTTTCCGCTTCGCACTACTAACTGCCGCAGACCAGCACAGCAGTAGACAATGAGGCCGCCTCAGGGTTGAGAGAAGCGTGCAGGGTGGTCATGTTATAGGACAGGGAGAGGGGCAGCCCAAACCCAACCTCCCCCTTTCCTGGGGACCACCCTGTTACAGTCAGGGAGTCGGCAAAAGAAATGACAGACAGACACACTTCAAGAGAGAGTGTAAATCTGAGTGTAATTTTCTTTGAGTTTGTGACCAGTATATATATATATATGTTTTCTAAAAGCATAGAAACAATGAAATCAGCTTGCTCATGGGTTTAGCTTATCACTAACAGGGCAGTGATTTACATCTGGACCTAGCCTCATTCCTAAGTAGATAGACCATTAGTTTTGTTTTTAAACTATATAATCGCGGGCCTCCCCGGTGGCGCAGCGGTTGAGCGCTGGGTTGCGAAGCTGCCCGCGGCCTCTGCGGCGCCGGTTCGATCCCCGGCTGCTCCCCGGCCACCAGAAGAGGGTCCCACATGGCGCGCAGACCTCTCCTGCCGCCCGCTGCTCCCCTCAGCAGTGTACTTCGGTCCTTCTGCCTGCTCTGCTCCCCGCTCTGGCTCTGGTGAATTCTCTCACCCTCCCGCGCTTCTGACTGTACCCAGTGCATGTATAAACAAAAAAACAAACAAACAAACCAGCAAACAAATAAATAAAGCATGCCTCTATAAAAAAAAATAATAATAAAAAAAATAAACTATATAATCGCATTTTTTGTTTTACTAACTACTTTTTTACCTAAACTATATTTTAATTATTACAGGATTTAGTAATGTTTCATTTGAGTCAGCCTTGTGTTAAGGATTTCATATGATTTTTTAATTAACAACCAATGACCTTTATAGAAGAAAGAAGGAAGTTTAGAAAGACAATAAGGGAATAAAGTTTGTAGTTCTAGAAAGACAAGATAAGGTTTTTTGTAGTAGCATTCTTGTAGTGGTTCCTGGTGGTCGTTATCTTTTGATAAGCATCTGTCTTATCTATGTTTTCAGGGAACTTTGCTGTACTCCCCTGCGCGCTGGTTCCTTGCCCAGCCGGACCTAGGGAGCGTGGCGAAAGCCATTAGCCCTAAAGGTCACTGCAGGGGGAGGTGCAGCAACTAACAGCATCTATGTAACAGTCATGGCTGCCAATATTAAAGAAAGTTTCAGTCCCATCATCTACAAACTCACTTGCTGTCTCCATTTGTTTACCATTGCACAAAATATCCATTGTGTCTTTTTCCAACACAGCTCTAATATCCTCACCATCCAACATAATATCTAAGTATTGGCAATTTTTGATCTGTTCTCCTTATACTTCTTGAGACTTTACCCATTAATTTCCAGAGTATATTCATAAGCAAAACAACTGACAGCATCTATTTTTATGGTGGTTTTTGTCTTTGCAGATGGTTTCTTTGCCTACTAATTTGAGCATACATTCTCTTATCTCTTGCTTCCCATATCAATACCACTTTTTTGCCTGATGTGGTTCCATGTTTGCTGCAGACAGGACAGCCAATGAAGTTCTCTGCTATTAATGAAGACTCGTAGTCTAAATGAATTTGCAATAGGGGGAGGCTGGGGAGAGTGCCATCAAGAGCGGCTCTGCCTTTCACTCTCCCAGCCCAAGCTTTTATGAAAGGTATGAACAAAGGAACAAGAAAATAGCAAGCAATTGTGTTTTTGCTTATACAGATTAATAAGTTACTGCTGAAAACAAGTTTTTCTGGTTAGTAGGGAACATGCACACATGCCTGCATGTCCTTAGAGAACAGGAGACAATTTTGGGAAGAAGCTCTGTTTGCAGAACTTTTAAGATCCTGGAACTCCATTGCAGAGTAAACAGGTATTCTCAGAAGATTCCAGCTCTCCTTCAAGGTTACAGGCTGCCAAGACGCGTTCAAATTCAAGCTTAGGTACTCCATCACTTAAAGCAACATCCCATATGGCTACAAGATCTATCATTTTTTCCAAGTTATAAGGAGGGCGCAGGGTCTCACGGTCTGTGTAGATATTGTTATCGGACAGGGAGAGGGGCAGCCCAAACCCCGCAAACCTGCCTATGCTATATGGGTTCTGGCATCCGCCGCATCAACACAAAACATAGGAGACTTTAATGGGAAGGAACTTTAATAAAACTAGGAAACAATACAGGTAAGGCAAAGAATTTAATTTCTAAATGAAGCACCCAAAGTTACCCATCCCCTTGTGGGTAAAAGTCCATCCATATGGGATCGGCCCAGAGCAAGGCCCCAAAGCCTGCCACAAGTCTAAAGCATCTTCCAGTGGGGACCCACAGAAAAGGGTCAGAAACCACCAGACAAGCCTGGAAGGAAAAGAGCAAAATCAAAATCAAAATAAAAGCTGCCATTGTCACCTCCCCACGGGTCTCACCCCCATCTGTGTCACCCAGTCCACGACCACAAGACAAGCACAGTTTTTTCACGTGTCTCTAGGCTCCATGCGCCTCCTCCAGGTCTCCTGGCTCCATCCTGCTTCCTTCCTTCCTCAGTCTCTTCTGCAGCTTCTCCTCTTCCTGCTCAGCTCCACCCTCCCTTGGGTGGGGCAGGGAACCTCCCCCTTTCCTGGGGACCACCCTGTTACAATATCACCCACCACTGGGGAGCCCAGCTGTGATGGCCACTAACTGCTCTGGAGCTGGGGCTCCTGAGGCTCCCCCAAGGGAACGTTTTCACAAGTTTTCAACTTGTAAATAGAAAGTCAAAACACAAAAGAAGAGGAGTGGGCATTAATTACCATCAGGTGAGTCTATCATCAGATTATACTTTGAGGAAATACTAGGAGTTAAATTCTAAATGCTCTGTATAATCGACAATAAAATGTAACATATCTGAGTAACAATTTTGTCATTAACCAATTTATAATCCTTTATTTCAGGGAAGCCTAAAGGACATAATAAGAACTAGTTACAAATAAATGACAACTTTATGGAAGGGAATATTTTTTTTTAGAATTTATAGCAAAAAAATAGGTCAAATATCCTTATAAATTACGTTGGTGAACTAGATTGCTGCTTTTGATGGAAGCTGTGTACTCTCTCTTTTACAGATTTGCCTGTTAGTAAGCCTAAACAATGTTTCTGTTCATGGAAGAAGAATCTGAAATTATGTTAAATTATCTGTTTGACATTGCCTGGCTGGTGTCTGGAAAATGTGGTATTACTCAGTGTCATTAATCCTTACAGAGAATTGAAAGGTGAATTTTTATGTGTATTATGGGACTCAGCACAGGGAATAGAGTGTAGTGAAATGATGCTGCAAAGGATAAAACAAAACATTCATTTTAGACTTTAATTATTTACTCTTCGTATGCTCACTTTAGAGACATGTGCTATTTAAATATATGGGGGATAATGAAAAAAATTACTACCTAAAATCACAGCTTTGCATTGCATCAATGGCTTATAAGTTATATAGTTGAAAAATGAGATACCAGGGATCTTGGGCAAAAAAGGCAAAAGTTAAATACTTTGGAACTTATTTAATAATAAGATATTTTAGAAAATTTACAAAATCTTCCTTGTTCTTATTTATTTATTTTTAAAATATTTATTTATTTATTTATACAAGAACCAGGGTACAGGCCAGATGCGCGGGAGGGTGAGAGAATTCACCAGAGACAGAGTGGGGAACATAACAGGCAGACTGACAAAATACACTGCTGAGGGGTGAGACAGGAGAGGTTTGCTCTCCGTGTGGGACACTCCCTGGCTGTCCGGGATCGAATCGCTGCTGCAGAGGCTGCAGACAGCTTGGTGCTCAACCGCCTGTGTCACCAGGGAGGCCCATTTACTGATTTTTAATAAGGTTGTTTTTCTTCATGCTTTTGAATTTTAGGAGCTCTTTGTATAGGGTGAATTTTAGTTTTCTATTGATTGGCTCTTCTACACCTGAGGTGTAGTGCAGAATTCCTCCTGGAGCCAGACAAGAGACAAGACTGAGCAAGATGAAAAGGGGCAAGTAAGAAACAGAATGAATCTTTATTGCTAATTTCCTGGTTCCTAACCTTCAGCCTCCATCACATTTCCCTCAGGGAATCTTGGAAATACGAAGCAGTATATTTGGATAGAATTCTGGAGGGGGCACTGGGAATGTTTTGTTGGCCACCTGTTCCATGATATTCAAGAGGAGACCATGGGCCTCCTGGCACAGTTCAGCACCCAGGAAAGTCTCCACTCGTTTATGCCATGCTGCCAGTCTTGGCCGTTCCTCAAACAGTTTGTAGCCAAGAGCCATGGGCTGCAGGGGACAAGGATGGGAAGGTTATGGTGATACTGAGGTCCCAACAACTGGGAATCACAGCACAGTTGTCAGACCCCTTCCTCCAACCCCATGTGAAGCCCAGGTCATTGTGACCAGCCTCAGGATCTAACAGCACCAGATGAAACCCCACATCTAGGAGAGAAGTAGAAAGTTAGGGCTTCAGCACAGTTCAGGCAGAAACTTGCTCTGTGATTCTGGGCAAAATCCTGGCTTTCTCTAGGCTTCAGTGTTTCTGTCTATCTAAAGGGGGTGGCAATAGGATGGATACTGCTTCGCTAGCCAAGTTCATACCTGCATTAGCTCCTCAAATGCCATGAGATCAGCCAGTGTCACTTTCTGGCTGATGAGGAAGGCCTTGCACCCCAGGAACTTGTCCTCCAGCTTCTGCAGTGTCCGGTCCATGGCGGTCCTGTTGCGCGCTACCTTCTCCTCAGGCACCTTTACTCCAATGAGTGGTGCCACCACCTAATGAGGGCAAAAGGTAGGCGGAGGCTGTGGCCCCTGCCTCTGCCCAGGTCCCTGATGGTCAGCCACCCCCAGAGAGCACTCTTCACCTGTGTCCACAGGGGCACACCAAAGGTGCCTCGGATGTAATCAGCATGCCAGCCCAGGTACTCATGGATGCGGATGCGGAACTGCAGCTCGGGTGGATACCAGTGTTCCTCTGTCTGGTACTTAGAGCTTAGGTAAATCAGGATGGCCACACTGGGGGACAGGGGCAGGAACAGTGGCTGTGAGGACCTGCCTCTGGGTTTTTACTCACAGGTGTTCACAGCCCAGGAGGTTCTCTGCATTAATGCTCCCCACCTTCACCTATGCCCGCAGGCACTGCCTCTTCTCTCCACCATGTACCCACTCTGTCTCCTCCTTTCCTTCCATCTCAGACCCACCTCTGGACAGACTTCTGTTGTTTGGCACTCTAAGAACCTCATCCCTAGGAGATCCCAGGAGCTGCCAAAGAGATTCTTGTCCCTTTAGTACACAAGAAAGCTAAGGCGCAGAGTAGTTAAGTGACACAGCAGGTGCTCAGTGGAATCACCCGCACACTGAGTGTATGGGTTGGGGACAAGGAAAGGAAGTGTATCTTCATATCTGTCATGGGTCTCCTCTCACAGTCGCCCCATCATCATTCCTGTAATCACCTGACCTCTTGACCTCTTCCTGCCTAGTGACTGGACCTGACCTATGTCCAAGGAGCCCTGGCAGACTCTGGAGAGTAGACTGATAAATCAAGAGAGTCCTTTCAGCAACTAGTTGTTGAGCCTACTCTCCTGGACATGGGCAAATGTCCCCCTTGTCCCCTCTTTATTGCCCTTGCAGCTGGGGATGGAGAGTCCCTGGGCTTCAGAGGAGGTGACTGAAGACAAGAGAAATGCAGAGACTTGCTAGGTCACCCCTAGTTATTCCCAAACTGTCCTTACCACACCTCTCATCTTTGTCCTCATTGCCTCAAGGAATAGAGGGCCCACAGTGGGAAAGCCAGGGGTTAGAGTGGATGGGGGACAAGAAGGAAACCTTTCCGTCAAGATGAAGTCACCATCTTTGAGGGTGGGCAGTTTCTGCAAGCTGTTAACCTGGGAGAACTCCTTGCACAGGTGCTGCCCTAAAGAGGAAGAAATCAGAAAAGGCTAGAAAAGCAACAACTACACCTGCGGAGCCCTGCCTCTCCTTCCTGAGTTCTGAGTTCTGGGGCTGGGCTGGGTAAAGCAGGGTCTGGGGCAGAGGGCTCTGTTTACCCCGCTCCATGGGTGGGCCTGCTTGACTGACCTGGGAATGGAATGATCTTCCTGCCTCTTTTCTTTTAAAAGATTGATTTTATTTATTTATGCATACAAGAGGTGGGGTGCAGGCCAGAGTTGGGGGAAGGGGAAGGGGGATGAGAGGATTTGTTACAGAGCAACCCCGCTCTAAAATGGGTTGCCAGCCTGTGGGTCCTCACCCGAGCACTTAAAAGGGACTTACACTGCGGGCACACCCTAAAGGTTAACAAAGGTTTATTTACAAGGGAAGGGGAATGAGGAAACGTAAAACTCAGGGAGAAAAGAGGGAGATAAATGTGCCCTACCTGTTCCACTGACCTGGAATCCCAAATGACCCACCAAGACCAAACCTGCCTGGCCAAGAGCACGAGCCAAGTGCCCCACCCCCCCTAACGTGTCTGGTTTTTATTTGCAAACAGAGAAAAGGGCTGCTCTTAGGTACTCTCAACTTCCCTTTGGGGATCCTGGGATTTATAGTTCCCAGTGTCTTGGTGGAGTGGGGGTGACATCCACAAAGCCTGTATGGAATTAGCGCAGGACATCCTTTCCCCCTAACAGATTCTCCAGAGACAGAGTGGGGAGCAGAAAGGCAGAGCTACTGAAATACACTGCTGAGGGGAGCAGTGGGCAAGTCAGAGGTCTGCTGAGCCATGTGGGTCAGCTCCCTGGCCAGGGATTCAACTCCTGTTGCAGAGGCTACTGATAGCTTCATAGTGCTGAGACCTAACCCCTTGCACCAGCAGGGAGGCCCTCTTCCTGCCTCTTAATCCTCACAACAGTGTAGCCTTCTTTCTACATTTTTTCTCCCCACCCCACAGAGTAGAGGATGACATTATCCTCTTTTTCAGAGAAAAGCTAAGGTTCTGAGAGGGCCTGTGACCTGTCCAAGATCACACAGCTCAGAGCACTGGAGAAGTGGGGGATGGTAGGGGAAGTGAGGGGAATATGCAGACTTGGGGGCAGGTGTGGACATGCTCGAGGAGTTCTTGGGTGAAGGTCCTGTAAATATGGACCAGCAGATACATGGGGGGCCCGCTGAGCCTACCTTTGAAAATCTCCACGGTATGCAGCTCAAAGGGGATGCCGTTCTTCTTGGCGAAGATGTAGACGGCACGACAGGGCTGGGACAGCATGTCTAGGTAGAGCTCCAGGCCCATGGTGGAGCGGTAAAACAGCCTGGACAGCAGCGGTGGCAAGCCCTGGGTGGCCAGGAGATATAGGGTTTCAGGCCCTGCCCCTTTGGGGCCGCAACCAGGAGTTGAGGCATCCATTTGCAAATGCCAGCCCACAGATCCAAATCCCCATTCAGATCCCATGCCCGCCCCATCCTGGCCACAAACCAGTGCAGTCCACCAGGCCCCACCCTTGCTGACCCTTGCTCAGACTGTGATCCCACATCCAGCTCCAGGCCACCTGCAGGAAATGTTTATACCCAGCAGCGAAGGCTGCAGATCAGAGTGGGGTGGGCTGCCCACACGTTGTTAGCTCTCACCACATCCCTTACACTGCTGGGCAGTAAGAGGGGGCACGGACTGCGACGGGAAGGGTGGTCAAGTGAGAAAAGCAGTCAAAAGCCGTGCATGGGGAGTGAGGGAAGTCATTAGCGAGGCATTGTAGGCTTGCTTTTCCTGTGGCCAGAGGTCCTGCCTGGCTCCCAGGCCTTGTCCTCACCTGGCTCCCAGGCCTTGTTCAAGAAACCTTCTGGCCTCTTGGAAAGCTGCTGAGCACTGACCGCAGAGAGGCTTGTTTCCGTGGCAGGGAACCTCAGCGCCAGCCATGGGGTAGATGGAAGGGATCATAGAGGTCGCCCAGCAGGTTGGCATAGTTACAGGTGTGTCCCAGGCAGGTGAGACCCTAAACTGTAAGGCTTGGTTTAGGGCAGAACTATCTATAGTCTGAACTGTCCCCCAAAACAGCTGCCAGGAGAAATACAGAGCCGGATCCCTGTGAGTGTGCATTAAGACAAACAGATTAGTTCTGGGGATCAGGGAGAGGATAGACACAGGGTGCACTGCCCTGCCAGAACCTCCCTTCTTCCTTTCTTCTCCCTGCATCTACTCCTTACTCCCAATATCTTCACAGGGTCTCAGCGATGGCTCAGGGCTTGGGGCTGGGGCAGTGAATTTTTAAATAGACTGATGTCCCTAGAGAGGGACCAAGTGAGAAGCAAGGGACTGGAATTTTTTAAATTGGAATTCAAGAGAGAGAAAGGAAATCCTTCTGAGGAGGTAAATGTGGACCTCATGGGCTGGAACTGTGAGGGGGAAAGGATGTCCTGAGCAAACTCCACACAGGTTTTGTGGACTCCATCCCCACTCCAGACCAAAGCCATCAAGATACCGGGAACAACAAATCCCATCATCACAGAAGGGAGGGTTGCTGGGACCTGAGGGTGGGGTTAAGCAGCCAGGTTTGGTATAAAAGCAGACATGTAGGCCATGAGGGTCCTCTTGGCCTCTTGACTCTTGGCTTTTCACCAGCTCACAGTGCGCCATTGGAATTCGGGGTCAGCGGGACTGGTGGGACACATGCACCAATTTATCTCCCTCTCTTTCTCCCTGAGTTATTCATTTCTTCATTTCCCCTTCTTTTGTATATAAACCCTTATTAACCTTTTTGTGTGTGCCTGCAGTGAGTCTTATTATAAATCCCTTTAAGCACACAGGTGAGGACACACAGTCAGGCAACCAATTTCATATCAGGGCTGCCCTGCAACAGGGCCACAGGTGGTCACATATCCAGAGTTCACTGAACGTGTAACAGAATCATCTGCATAAGAGGGGGAGATACCATGTTCCCTACCCAATTAACTGTCAGCAGAACTGAGCTTACAGGTGAAGCAACAGAACAAGGAAAGTGGTGGGGGAGCAGGGAACACAAAGGAAAGAGACACACAGAGGGAGACAGGTAGAGAAGAAGGGCACACTCACTTCTCAGCTTTGGACCTGCACCAGAGACTTAGCAGACGTGGAGAGAGAGGCATGGAAGAGAGACATGGAGCAACGCTTGGAAGAGACCAAAGGGGGAGAGATGCAAGGGGTAGCTGACAGCTGTTACCTTGATATGTGATTTGACTTGGCTTCTTGTATCCCAGATTTGCTCGTTTCCCCTTGTTCCCTCCTGTGATTCTCCTCCAGAAGGTGCCTGAGACTTGTGGCAACCTTTCAGAACTCCGTGGGGCCTACTTCCGGCAAACTCTATTTGGCTAGGCATTCACACACAAGGGGGATGGGTAACTTGGGCACTTTATTTATTTTTAAAGGTTTATTTTTATTTATGAATATAAGAACTGGGGTGTAGGCCAGAGGTGTGGGGGGGGTGAGAGGATTCACCAAAGAGAGTAGGGAGCAGAACAGGCAGATCTACTGAAATCCATTGCTGAGGGGAGCAGCAGGCGAGACAGGAGAGGTCTGCTGCGCCATGTGGGTTAGCTCCCTGGCGAAGGATCAAACTAATGCCACAGTGGCTGGCAATAGCTTGATAGTGCTGAGACTTTAACCCCTGCACCACCAGGGAGGCCCAAGTTTGGGTGTTTTGTTGGGGAATTATTGTCCTTTCTTCTCTTTCTGAGCATACAAGTTGTATTAAAGTTCTTTTACACTGAGTATGCTTTGTGTTTGTGCACAAGGATGGCCAGATCCCTTTAGATGTACAAGTTTAGAGGTCCTGGGGTGCCCCCCCCCAATCTGCTCACTAACAAACTGGCTTACTCAATTGTTGGCAGCCCGTCACCCTAAGGTGAGCCGGAGTCTTCTGAGAATACCTGTTTACTCCGCACACAGAGTTCCAGGATGTTAGAAGTTCTGCAAACAGAACTTCTTCCCAAAATTGTCTCCTGTTCTCTGAGGACATGCTGTATTTTTTTAAAAAGATTTATTTATTTATGTATACAAGAGCTGGGGTACAGGCCAGAGATGCAGGGGGTGAGAGGATTCACCAGAGACAGAGTGGGGAGCAGAATAGGCAGATTGACTGAAATACACTGCTGAGGGGAGCAGCGGGCAAGAAAGGAGAGGTCTGCCTCGCCTTGTGGGTTGCTCCCTGGCAGGCTGGGGACCGAACTCGTGCTGCAGAAGCCACGGATGGCCTCATAGTGCAGTGCTTAACCCCTTGCGCCACCAGGGAGGCCCACGTGCTGTATTTTATAATGATTTGACATCTTGGGGCCTTGCTGATCTGAGAGAAACTTCCCCCCTCCATCCCCCTCCACCCCAGTTCTAGTTAATTCCTAGAAATAACAAAAGACTTCCTTTTGAGCACACCTTCCTTTTGAAAACCAATTACTCCAACTCTCATACACCAAACCAATATAACCCTACTCTGCTCATTGCAAAACTAGGTACCAGACAAGGCAGGACAGCCTCTACACCCCAGAACCTGCTGCATTTATTCAAACTAACCATCCTAAACCTGCTTACTATGCCTTACCCATTCCTTCTAGAAAGTTCTTACTATATTTTCCTCCCACTCCCTCCGCATTCTGATCCAACCCCGTGCTTTCCTACGTAACCCTGCATGGCAGCCAGGCCTACTGTTTCTGGGGAACTGTCAGTGAAAAACTTCTTCCTTCATGACAGCCATGTTTGTGTCTGCATGTCTTACCATAACTTTTTAAAACAAAACCTCATATGGGGCCTCCCTGGTGGTGCATGGGTTTAAGCACAGCACTGTGGAGCTATTTGCAGCCTCTGCAGCATGAGTTCTATCCCCAGCCAGGAGGCTACACACATGGCACAGCAGACCTCTCCTGTCTCACCCGCTGCTCCCTTCAGCAGTGTATTTCAGTAGATCTGCCTGTTCTGTTCCCCACTCTGTCTCTGATGGATCCTCTCACCCCCTGCACCTCCGGCCTGTACCCCAGTTCTTGTATGCATAAATAAATCTTAAAATAAACCCTCATGTCTCATATGTGTAAATATATATGGGAACACGTGTCTGTGGGTGAGGGGATACGTATGCCTGTGTATTCTTGAAAGTACCTGTGCATGTGTGAAAGTTTGTAAAACCACATATGTGTGCATTTGTCATGTGTGTGAGAGCACATGACTGAACAAAGAATTAATTGTGAAAATGTAAACTATGTGGGGAGGCTACAAGAAGAGAATTCTTTTAACAAAGTCTGTGCAGAATTCTTTTAATTCTCAAGCTCTTGATAAAATTGGTGTTTTCAGGCCTCCCTGGTGGCTCAGCGGTTGAGCGCTGGGTTGGCGCGCAGACCTCTCCTGCCGCCCGCTGCTCCCCTCAGCAGTGTACTTCGGTCCTTCTGCCTGCTCTGCTCCCCGCTCTGGCTCTGGTGAATTCTCTCACCCTCCCACGCTTCTGACTGTACCCAGTGCTTGAATAAATAAATAAATAAATAAATAAATAAATAAACTTAAAAAATAAAATTGGTGTTTTCCTTCTGGCACAGGGAGGATATCTTTCACATGGGAATGTTACCTGCTTTTAAGAAAAAGAAGGAAAGTCAGAGTGCTGTGTTTGCTGTTTTTCAAGTGTCTTTTATTCAAAATAGTCAGTATCCGGGAGCAGCATATTTTGGGTTGCATGTTCTGAACTCCTTCAGTGGTAAACACATACACAACTGTATAACAGATTCCCCAGCGTAAGGTTTCCTTTGTAGACGCTGAGGTGGAAGTGCCGGAGGGTACGATTCAGTCTGACTCAAGGGCGGGATGTGCAAGTAGTGGTAATTTATTCTTTAAAATAATACCACCACCATACTAACATAAAGTCATTGCAAAATTAAAAATTAAGTCAGACAGCGCTTCTCTCGGATGTGTGTCTGCGGTCTGGCCTTTGGCACAGCAGTTAACCCTCATTTTGCCCTCTAGGCACAGGTGGCTAATGCAAGCGTCCTGGCGCTGCTGCGCTCGCAGACCACAGAGGGCCCCTCTCGCCCCAGTCTGGCGTCAGGCCCCGCAGCAGAGCTTGCTGGAAGAGAGAGGCATGTGGGCGGGTTGCACCGGCAATAGTCGTTGCGGCAACGGGCGTCGGAGCGTGCGCTCATGCGCGCTCATGCGCGCGCTCATGCTGAGCCGTTATGCCCCAGTGACCGCGGGAGGAGCGGCCTCAAGCCCAGGGCGGGATTTCTTTCCTATCGCCAGGCTGACAGCCAGGTTGCCTGGAAGGCGCAGGGAAAGCACCCGGGAACAGGGAGCCTAGAGAGCTCTGGGGCTTTTGAGGCAGAAAGGGGGCCTTCTGAGGGGACTGGGACCTCGGAATGTTTTGGAAGGTGGAGAGGGTCAGACATTCCAGCATCTTCGGGGTATGGGAAGGAAACGACTCTGGACACAGCAGGAGTCCAGAGTGTTAGGCAGCTTCAAGTGGAAGGAACTGTGCAGGGTCCCCCAGAGGGAGGGAAGGGAGGACAGGAAGAAAAGAGGGGGTGGCCTCAAAAATAGCAGGGGTGGGGGCCGGGGCAAGGAAGAATCCAAAGGGATGGAGGGAGGCCTCCGGGCCAAGATGAGGCCATGGCATTATTCTCCAGCCATAAGGCTGGAATTAAGCAATACAATGATTCATAAACTGAATCATTAAGCAAACTGTAATAGACCCCTACTAATTTTTCAAAGGTCAATATTTTTAGTGTAGAAGGTAGGGTAGAGAAAGAACTGTGCAGAAAATGGGGGAGGGCAGACTAGTGAACAAACAAAAGCTGTATTTTTTTAAAATGTTTTTTGTGTAGATGAACTGGGGTGTTGGCTAGCTGTGGGGAGTGAGAGGATTCACCAGAGACAGAGTGGAGAGCAGAA